CCTGTAAAGACCTGTGGCCACTTCTGGCCACACTTTATTGTTGGGAGTGCCCAAAGCTCTGAAAATCCTGATCAATTTCTGAATCCCCATGGAAAAGTGGTTTCTTAGTTGCCACTTCTGCAGAAATGCTGCCTATCCTCCAAATGTCAACTGGAGTAGAATAATGAGCAGCCCCCAGCAGCACTTCTGAACATCTATACCAGAGTGTCACTACCTCTTGCGTATATACTCTAATAGATATCCCAAAACCTCAAGGAAGGCCGTAGTCAGCCAGTTTGTTCTTTTGAGGTTTCAAGTCTCTGTGAAGAACTCTTCTAGAGTGACAAAAGAAGGATCTGGTACACATAACTCTTAACAAGTGATGCATCCATGAACTGCCAGGGAGGAATAGAGTCCAAGTATTTCCTGAGATCCATGGAAAGGAATTAAAAAATGAGATACAGCCTGGAATCCTGCATAAGCACATCTTGAAGATTATGTTTGGATGGCGAAGTTCTTTTAATGGAGAAATTTCCTGAATTGCAGTACTAGGAACCCCTTCCTCCTCACTTTATAGTCAGATTTTCTTCATGGCTACAACTTGACCTGTAGTTTTGTATCTATCCTTATTTACCACTCCTTAAGTACCTTCTCCAATTTTCTCTATTTTGGTGTACTCTTCCATAGTTATTCAACAGATAGGATAGATCCTTGCCTACCTCTCTCCTCACAGGACCTTCCTGCCCCAGCTTAGAAGTCAAGTACCTTGAGTTCACTGTTTAGCCCAGGCTGGTCTCAAGCTCGCAGTGATTCTCCGGCCTCTGCCTCCCAAGTGCTGGGATTACAGGTGTGTGCCATCACACCTGGCTCTGAATGTTTGTATTTTGAATCAGGGTAGACTGACTTGCTTATACTGGCCTTAAATTTGCAATCCTCGTGCCACAGCCTCCTGAGCAGGTTTATAGGCGTGAGCCATCATACCCTGTGACATTGACTCTTACTGACCTTCCATTTATGTAGGCACAAAATTCTATTCTAACTTTGCTTAACAACATCTCAGGAAATATTAGGTTACAGATCAAATTAGATCAAATAGTTACTTGTTTAATTAACTTACATACTTGGCCTGAGTGTTGAAGGGTTTGAGGTGTTCTTATTTCTTTAATAGAAATTTTGTGTGGCTTTGTCTAAGGTCTCTTAAAGGTGCTTGTGACTGCACCACTAAGGCTCTCAACTTTACTGAAATGATTTCCTGGAAATTGAAGGAGGTACCACATCAGTCTGGGAACCTCTTACATTAGTATCTTTGATTCATTGTTAGCAATTCAGGGAAAACAGTTCAAAGAGACATGGAAAGGATTTGGCAGAGCAGATACCTTCATATAACTCAATTCCTATATTTAGCTGTGTCCCTTAGTTTCCAAATTTAGTTTTCCTTATAGGTTATCGGTCTCAGAACTTCCTGGAAAGTCTTCTGTTGTGATGAGTGCTGTGCTTGCCTATCTTTTTAAGTTTACTGCATAGTTGATACCTGGTTTACTCCTGTCCTGTCCTGTCTCTTAGTCCATATTAGGTGTGTTTCTTGGCCAGTTAGAAGATATTGCGAGGATTCTTTTCTTTTTGGTACTGGGGATTGAACTCAGAACCTTGTGCTTGCCAGGCAGGCAGTTATGCTGCTGAGCTCTCTCCATGGCAGGATTCTTATTGTTTGCATTATATGGTTGCTCAGTCAGAAATATAGCTCCTCCTCCCTCTCCTCCTCCTCCTCCTCCCTATTGCCCTCCCCCCTCCCCCTCCTACTCCTCCTTTCTTCTTTGTTTTTGTGATGCTAGGGATCTAACCCAGGATCCCTGTGCATGCAGGCAAGAGCTGCATCACTGAGCCACATCCTCAGCCCAGAAATATAGTTCCTTTGATGGATGAGCCGGCACATGTAGTACTAATGCTTGGTGAAAGAAACAGACCTTAAAGAAGGTGGAACAAATACACAAAAACAAAATTTGCATTATGGCGCAAATGGGGGAATTTTTCTGTTCATCTTCAAATATGAGATTTACTCAGTAGGTGTAAGGGATTTTTTATTTTTATTTTTGTATTTTTTGAGACAGGGTTTTGCTATGTAGTTCACCTTGGACTCACTATGTAGTCCAGGCCTCAGATTCTCAGCAGTCTATCTGCCTCAGCTTCTTTTTTTTAAATTTTATTTATTTATTTATGTGTGTGTGTGTGTGTGTGTGTGGCCAGCTCAGCCCACCAGGGGGCGCGGCTGGCTGGCATGTGGTGCTGGGGGATTGAACCGCCGTCCCTGTGCTTTGCTAAGCTTGTTCTAAGTAGGTGCTTTAGACCACTGAGCCATCTCACCAGCCCTGCCTCAGCTTCTTGAGTGCTGGGATTACAGATGTGTACCACTAAGTCCCAAAATTTGCTTTATGCTATCACTAATTACTTGAGAAGGCACTTTGACGGCTCTGGATTACGTGGCAAGTGCTGAAGCAATCAGAATAGAGAATAACTGGGCCCTTTGCTTGTCAAATAGAAGAACCTGTTGAAACTAGTAAATTTTGTTCTTTGGAGCAAAATTATGAAGAAAAATATTAATGGGCCTGGGGAGATAGCTCAGTGGTCTAAATGCCTGCCTAGCAAGCTCAAGGACCCAGGTTTGATCCCTGGATCGCATGCCATGCCACTCAGGAACTACGGTGTACCGTGCTGGCCACTGAAACGGCGTGGTGGCACAAGCTGTGATCCCAGTGCTGGGGAGGCAGAGACAGGAGGATCACTGAGTCCAAGCTACGTAGTGAGACCCTGTACCAAGCAAATAAAACGATTTTTAAAAATTCCAAAAAAGAAAGATATTAATAAGTTAGTTAATATTTTGATTTTTCACTTAACTTTTCTGGAATGTTTTGTTCTTGATTTAGTCTTATCAGAAATTCAGTGATAGCTGTCACATTTAGGGAGCGGTGAAATAGAAGAAATCCCTTTTTCAGTGGGGAATTTTGTCAGTTTGGTCATATATGTCCTATTTTTTCATAATATATATTTTACTGGTGAAATCGCAAGTTTTAATAGTTAGATTTTCTTTCAATGTAGATTTTTAATAAAGATATTGTCAGCATTGATTTGTAATGCCAATTTAAACATTTCCCCCCATTTTAGCATTGATTGGCTTTTTTCTGTTTGTAAAGATAGGTCTGTAGCATCATTGTTTATGCTTTTATAGTATTTAGTTATGAATCTTTAAGTCTTTTGATATCTTTAATTTCTTGTTTGGAAATTTTCGAAATGTAGCAGTGTTTCCACCTTCTTCGTTGATTGATTTCTAGGTGTGTTTTAGTTTTTGGTGCTGCTGTGCATGAAATGTTTTCCTTCTTAGCTAGTTCTTTACTGGTGTATAGAAAAGCTTTTGATTTTTTAAAAAATGTTGATATTTATCCTGTTACTTAGATTAATGTGTGTAACCTCTAAAGTGTAGATAGGATCATCATATTTTGTCTGCAAATAGAGACTGTTTGACCTCTTGCTTTCCTATCTGTATCCCTTTTATTTCTTTCTCTCGCATAACTGCTATAGCTAAAATTTACAGTACTATATTCAACAAGCGATGTGAGAGTGGACCATGTTGTCTTGTTGCTGATGTTAGGAACAGTGCTTTCCATTTTCCCCACATTGGTGTTTTTGGCTTGTGATAGGAGCAAGGAATAGGAGGTAAAGCAGAATAAACCAAGTGATAAGAAGGTGAAGTATTTCTCTTGAATTGAGGATGACTAGCATGTGGTTTGCTTAGGATGGAGAAGTTTTTCAGGATTCAGTTCCAAAACCTGGAGAAGTCCTAGGATACAGGAATAGTTGACTGCACTATATCTGATTCTTTTTCCTTTACAAGATGAAAATGATTTTCTCTTGGAAGTGAAAAATGGATGATGGTAGTATTGAAAATGTAAGGTGAGTAGCTGAGTGTGGTAGTGCCCCCTTATGATCCTAGCACGTGGGGGAAGCTGATGTAGGAGGATTGCTTCAAGTTTGAGGCCAGCCTGGGCTACATAATGAGACCCCGTCTCAAAGAAACAAACAAAATGGTGAAAGGACTAGCTATAATTCTGCATCTTAAAGATGAGTAAGCAGATTCACAAAGTTAATATGATTTCTGAGTATGAGTGGTCTGCTAAAACTTCTGGTTATAATTTGAAAGTTTATTTAGGTACTGGGGATCAAACTCAGAACCTTGTACTTGCCAGGCAGGTGCTTAATGCTTCTGAGCTATATCTCTGGCTGAAAGTTTATATGGTTCTGTTTCTCTTCAGTTTTATGTGTTCAGGTACAGATACTGTGTTAATTAGAAAGTTGACTTAAAATTGTGTTTTGGTTTGATGGAGGGAGAAAGGAACAGAGCAGTAAAGCCCTAAACAAGGGAATGATTATAGTGATGGATTATCATTTCTCAGGCCTGTTGAGAAGTTAAGAGAGAGGATGGAGTACAGGAGAAAATGTATCAGGGAGTGGATAAGGAACATAGGTGAAGGGAATATGATGCTCACAGTTGAGATTTTTGAGATGATATAATTACTGGTTGTTAATCTGATCATCAGTAGGGGCTAGAGTAGATGGAAAAGACTAAATTTGGGCGTTGTCTCTATGGATGTCATTTCAGTTGAGCAGTTTTGGGTGCTCTAAAACATACTTATTCCCTCTTCACGTAATTGGAATGTTCTGTTTTGTTTACGTATAGAACAGAATCACATTGTGAATCACATTGTTGTTGGTCTGAAATGGAGACAGTAATAAAACAGTAAATGGATGCAAAGAAATTTTGCTTACTCTGTACTCAGCCTTATTGTATGGCTTGGTAGAGACCTAGTAGTCAGTAAGTTCAAATGTTAGCATCCTAATTGATGATTCCACTACATTGAGCTATTTTATATTTTAGTATTGCAAAGGTTTAACAACAAGGCTTTGTACCATGTATAGTTATCTGCAGTACATTGTTTATTAGCTCCAATTTTGTTCTTTGTTTTTTATAGGCCCGCAGCTGAATGCACAGCTAGAAGGTTGGCTTTCACAAGTACAATCTACAAAAAGACCTGCTAGAGCCATTATTGCACCGTAAGTTTTAAAGTGTTTTTACCAAAAAAAAATTCATTATTATTGATAATGATTCAATAGTTATCTATTATGAAAAGATGAGTATCTGGAAGTTGAATTAAACAAATAGAAAAGATGCTAAATTGACCTCAAAACTTACTTTTTTTGGCACAACTGGGGATTGAACTGAGGCCCTTGCTCTTGCCAGGCAAGCACTTATTCTACTGAGTCATCTCCCCGGCCCCTCAAAACTTAGTTTTAATAATTAATGTGATTTTCAATTAAAGCAGTTGGTTGCATGATTTCCTTAAATGTAGTAATTTCAAATTAAATTTGGTAATATATTGGTTAGCTTTCTCACTGCCAGTGCAAAATACCTGAACTTAAAGGAAAAGAAGTATATTTTGGCTCAGTCTCAGAGGTTTTGTCTGTCTCTTAGGCAGTAATGATATGCTGGAAGGGCACACAGAGCGAAGATGCTCACTTCAGGGCAGCTGGACAGGGCGCATCTAGGGGAGGATGCCAGTGTGATGCATACCCTCCAAAGACATGCTCCCTCTGACTGCCTTCTCCATCTGGGCCCAGGCCCCCTAGCATATTCAGTTATGAATGACAGTGCTTTAGTTGGTTGTTGAGTACAATGTCCCCAAGATCTAGTCCCCTCAGCATAATACTCTTTTCTTTTTCTTTTTTGGTGGAACCAGGATTGAACTCAGGCCCTTGTGCTTGCCAGGGAAGCACTTATTCTACTGAGCCATCTCCCCAGCCCCTGCATGACCCTCTTAATCCAATTAAAGTTACTGTTATAATTAACTGTACAGGTAATGACACTGACTTTTAAGCAGGGAGTTCATGTTAGGTAAACTTCATGAATTTATTAAAGGGTTGACTTTAGTCCTTTTTTTTTTTTTTTTTTACAGTCCTAGAGATGGAATTCATGGTCTTGTGCATGCTAAGCAAATGCTTTACCATTGGGCTAGATCTCTAGCCGCAGATAATTTTTAATTTACAGTTAATATGGTACAACATTGACTAGCACCCAGGTTTTTAGAGAGGGGTACATTTTAATTCAGAAAACTAAATTATTTCTGCAGTAAATATAGGCTTGAAGACATTTGCTATGACATTGATTTTAGATACTTTGAATAAATACCCAGAATTGGGTTGGGGATGTAGCTCAGTCGCATAAGTGCCTGCGTGGCAAGTGCAGGGTCCTCAGTTTGATCCCTGGTACCTAAATAAATAGTGAATAAAAACCCAGAAATGAAAGTGCTGAGTCTATTCATTACTTTTGTTGTTGCAATAACAGGTTGGTTGTGGTTCTGCTAAAATTGTCACAGCAGTGATAATCAACAATATCAAGTTTACCATAAAGTTATATTTTTATTATAATGTATTTATTTTTATTACAGAATTTTATTAGCTCATGCACATATATATGTACATACTATTTTTTTTCCTGCAGTGCCAGTTTAAAACATTTACCAACAAATTACCAGCCACATACTAATAAGTAAACATTGAGGGAAGTGATTCCAAGACTCATGTACCTAAATGAATCAAGAAAGAAAAATGAGGTCAGGAAACAAAGTCATTCTACAGTTGATAAGAGAACTGACTGCTGAAACCAGTGCATGAACAGAAAGAGTAGAATTGAAAGAAAAGGAGAGCTACTGTACATTGAAGACCAAGAGAACAGGAGTGATGTAGTTATAGTGTATTTGGTCTAGTTTATTGGTGGTTAGCCTGTAACATGAATCCTGAAGTGAGCTGCTTATATCATTGAAAGCCCTAAAAGCTTCATCATCCCTGATGTATTTTAACTTCTTGGGTCTTACAATTCTTCTGTAACTGTCTACTGATGTTACTAGACAGGATTACTGAAAGCTCATATAGTATTAATGCTAAGATCACAACTTCAGGTAAACCTCAGATGTCTTTCAGACCAAAAAATTCTTTTTCCTCTTAACTACAGCTTATTATTTTCTTCAGGTTCTTTTGTTAGTACGTATTTGCCTTACATAATTATATTCCGTAGAGTGATTTGGTACATGCACATAACACATCTCATTTCCTTTTTCAGCTGCCTTTCCTTTTCTCCCTTCTTTCTACTCCCATCTCTTGATTCCCTTCCCATGTGAAAAACATGTTATCTCCCTATTTCCTATTATTTCTTTTTATTTATATTTTGGGTCTCTCATATAAGAGAAGCTATGTAGTGTTTAAGCTTATATGTTTAATTTATTTCACTTACCATTGTGGTGTCAAGGTGCATTCATATTTCTACAAATGACTTGCGTTTATCTTTTTTTTTTTTTTTT